ATAAATAAATAAATAAATAAATAAATAAATAAATAAATAAATAAATAAATAAATAAATAAATAAATAAATAAATAAATAAATAAATAAATAATACGTGCCAGTGGCCAAACATTTCATTATGTAACCGAGGGGATGTTGCAACGGTCATAAGTGTTGACTTGGGGGATAGAAATTATTGTTTACCGCACTTTATGAGCCACGGTGGCGCAGTGGTTAGCGTGCAGTACTGCAGGCTACTTCTGCCGGCTGCCGGCTGCCTGCAATTTGGCAGTTCAACTCTCACCAGGCTCAAGGTTGACTCAGCCTTCCCTCCTTCTGAGGTGGGTCAAATGAGGACCCAGATTGTTGGGGGAAATACCAGAGGTGGGTTGTCAATTTTTTTTACTACCGGTTTGGGCGTGCTCGTGCATGCGCAGAGAAGCCTTTGGACAGGTGGCTGGAGCCTCCCGCTGCTGCTACTACCGGTTTGCCCAATCTGGACCGTACCGGGAGCAACCCACCTCTGGGCAATACACTGACTCTGTAAACCGCTTAGAGAGGGCTATAAAGCACTGTAAAGCGGTGTATAAGTCTAAGGGCTATTGCTATTATATATTATGGGGATGACCCCATACGAAGTATTTCAGATCACAAATATTAAGAGATTGGGCGTTTGTTTGCAAAATAGAAACTTTTGGTAAGTAATGCTCAAAATCAAATTTCCAGGCAGAACAGAATGTTGTTTTTGTGTCCAGGTAGAAGAAGGGGGGCGAACACCACTCCTGCCTCACCACACCCTTGGCCTTGAAGGTGGCCTTGCTGAAGAAGGCCTGGTTGTAAAAGTCACAAGTCTTCCAAAATATGGGTACATTGAAAATACCAGGACAGGTAAGGAGCGATTTCATATGGTCCTCGACTTTCGACTACAGTGGAACCTGTCAGAGTTTGTTGCAGAAAAATCAAATATTGAAGGCATACACGGATAATTGATTCAGCAGGATTCATTAACTTCTTTATATACATCATAACAGGAGAATAAATGTACAATACCAAGAGCAGATTCTTTCCACATGGTAGAAATTACAAGCAGGAGAGAACAGTTTCATCTCAGAGTTCAGAGCCAACAGACAAGTTTAGACTAGTTTACTTCTCAGAGCTTACAGACTAGTTTCAGTTTCAATTCTCAGCTAAGCCACGCCCAGACTCTAAGCTTAAGGTTCTACATTTAGGCAAGAAAAACGAGATGCACAGGTACAGTATAGGTGGTACCGTGCTCAACAGTAGTA